TCCTTTATCAAATCAAGTCAAATCAAGTTTTATTTATATAGCACATTTATAAACGATTTTTGGTCGAGCCAAAGTGCTGTACATATAATAAAAATAGCCTACAGTAGAGACACTTTACAGCAAATACAACAGCACAGATTGTTCAGAATATCAGTATGAGAAAAACGACACCCTCTATCCTTAGACCCTCTGTCCTTAGACCCTCTGTCCTTAGACCCTCACATCGTACAAGGAAACACTTCCAGAGAAAACCCACAGTTTAAGGGAACATGGGAGAAACCTCAGGGAGAGCAACAGAGGAGGGATCCCTCTCCCAGGACGGACAGACGTGCAATAGATGCTGTGTGTAAATCGAAGAGATAATACATTTTACAGCATATAGACCGAATGTTAGGAAATGCATGTGTCTGTAATATGAAGATGAATCCACGAGGATGTCAGCTACAATCCTGTGGAAGCCATCAGGGAAGCAGCATGACGAGACCCAAGGCAGGACCGCAGAGACAGGTTCAGCCACGACCCGAAGTCCACGACTTAATCCAGAACTCAGGATAGAGGATCCAAGACACAGGACTACAGCAAGAGGATCAGCCTCAACTCCGGATCCCGGCGTAGATATAGATACAAAACAAGAACAAAGATTTGGCTGGGTTAATCGGAACAAGAGAATACACAGACACAGACAGAGAGGGAAAAGGTCATTGGATACAAGTTATTCTTGATAACCCTATAGAAAGATCTCATGAACTTCCCCACTCAATCTATCAAGACCCGAGCAGTTCTATTAGAAGTCCAAGGTAAAGGCACAGGCCAGCGCATACCGCTCATGGAATCCCTCACCATATGAACTCTCACCCCTCAAGTGTACAAGTGAAGAGACACCATGTCAACTCCTTTTTAGAATAGTATTTCTTCTCTTCTCAGATAAACAAGGGTATGAAAAGAACAGCCAGAAACAGAGGAAGAGAGGCAGAACGTGACTACGTAAACGCACTCTCCTAAATATTAAACGAGTAAGAGGTGAAGAAACACAAAGCCAGAAATTTAAATGAAAAGGCACCATCATGCTTCCCCTTAGAATAGGGTGGACATTATGAAGACCCAAATTATAAAAAGGCGACACGGGATACTAGTGAAGAGGGACAACAGTGAAAAGGCCCAACGTATCCAACGTACTAGCACTCTCCAAAGAGACAGAAAGTCAAAGTATACGCCGAGAGGCACAACGTGACTACGTAAATGCACTCTCCTGTATAAATTAGTTCAAGGGAAAGGGGGTGAAAACCTAAACTAATCAAAAGAAGGAAGTAGAGAGGCCTGAATGCCCGCTCCTAGATTCAGTTAAAGGAAAGAACTGGGGAACAAACAAGTACAGGAGGAAAGGCCCAACGAGTCAACGTCAACACACTCTCCTAGAATAGTTCAAGGTAAACGGGGTAGGAAGAATATAGTAAGAAACAGAGCTGAAAAGGCGTCCAAGAACGCTTTCCCTCTAGTTTAGGGTGAAAATGTAGGATAAGAAAACGGAGATAGAGAGCACAACCATGGCCGTATCCACCATTGAGGTTACCGGGGTTACCGAGGTCCGGACCTCGGTAATATTTTCCGAGCTGTGTATAACAAAACTTGTGAAATAATTGCACTAAACGGGGTTCTTTGTAGTACTTCCATTTATTGACGATGGGGGCGCTGCATAACTACGGAGCCTCGATTAAAGCAAACAGAAGAAGACGACATGTATCAACAAACCTCCGCAGCCCGGACTTGTATCGGAGCAGCGGAGGAGTGATCTAGAGATCTGAGTCCAGCGGGCTGCTTGTGTTTCTGCTCCTCACAGGACATCAAATTGCGTGAATAAACTAGCTAGAGAGCTAAAGTTAATTACATTCATCCAATGTCAGAAGGATTACCTTTTAACAAACGTCGTAATGCTTTTATTTGTATTTCAATTTGAGTAAAACATTGAAGATATAACATTGTATTGTATTATTTTTACACTGACTCAGATATAAGGAAAAGACTACGTCAGATGAAGCTCAGCTTTGGTAAGGAAGAGACAGGACAGGCAGAGAGAAAGAGAGAGAGAGAAAGTGATGGAAGTCAGGGAGGAACTGAAGGTACAGTCATACAAAAATAAGGTAGGCTTAATAAGCCCATCTATTTATCTATCTATCTGTCTATCCATCTATTTATCTATAACAATAGTCTTCATTTACAATATAGACAATAGGCATACTTTTAAAACAACATACATCTATTGCAGTTATGATGTCATAATAACATACAATTGTATAAAACACAATTTGCTTACATCTTTGTATACCCCCGAACCCCCCTAGCATGTTTGGACCTCGGTATTTAGGAAATCCTGGATACGGCCCTGAGCACAACAACCAATCTCTTCGTCAGATGCACTCCCCCGCCTGGATAAGCGACTCTGTGCCCCATCCCTCTCTACCGGACCTTAGATCCGCAGAGGGAGAGGGGAGGGACCAAGCCCAAGGGGGGGTTTAGGATTTTAAAAGAAAACCCAGCAGAGATCCAAAAATGGATGAAGAAGTAATTACAAAACGGTTTATAAAACCAAGAGGTTATTCCTCATATTTCTAAAATGTTCTAATCTAATTCAGGGTTATACCAACTCAGCTCCAAGCAACCAGACATAGCAACCGGTCAGTCTAGTCAGAACCTTCTCTAAGGTCTCCCCGCGCCCAACCTACTAATCATAAAAAACTGAAACCCCATAAAACCCCAATAATATTAATAACATTTAATAATATTAAAAATAGTATCAATTCTGTGGATAACTAAATAAATAGATAATTAAACAAAAGCCAGAGAGAAAAAGTGAGTTTTAAGTGTTGATTTAAAAACCCCCAGGGTCTGGGCCGACCTCACATGGAGGGGCAAAGTATTCCAGAGCCTAGGGCCAGCCGCTGCGAAAGCTCGATGCCCTCGGGTTTTAAGCCTGGTCTTAGGCACTATCAACAACAGCTGATCAGCCGACCTTAAGGCTCTGCCTGGGGTGTAGCGATGGAGGAGTTCGGCTATATAGGCAGGAGCCAGCCCATTTAGGGCTTTTAAAACAAATAAAAGGAGTTTAAAATCTATTCTGAACCGAACTGGAAGCCAGTGCAATGAAGCCAGAATTGGGGTGATATGGTCACGCTTTTTATGTCCAGTAAGAAGACGTGCAGCTGCATTCTGAACTAGCTGGAGGCGTCTAATTGAGGCCTGGTCCATACCCACATACAGAGCATTGCAGTAATCCAGTCTCGAGGTAGGTTTATAGCCCAACATTAGCCGCCTTTAGCTTAGCGGTGGTGACGTGAAGTCATGTGACCGACCGTGCTGTAGTTCTTTTATAGCATAACGCTGAACAAGGTGTAATTATCATAAATGTGTGTTTGCCAAATATCTCATTTTCTGCAGTAATCTTAATTCCAAAGGAAAAACCCATAGCTTTTTGTTGAGGGAGCCCTTGCAATGCTAACTTCCAGGTTGGCCTACGAGTTCATTTGTGTCTCTTCAACCAATCCTGTGAGCCATGTCCTTAATATTGTCCACACAGGCACAACCAAGCTAAAGGTTGCAACATCAACAATTTTAGCTATAATTCCTTGACTCACAGTTTATTAAAAGTCATACACTGATTGACATTAAGCTTGCTGTAGTTAACCTCCGAAGTTTGGCAAAGAAAAGGAACATTAAGTAATATACCAGGCAGCTACGAATTATCTTTACATTCCAATAAACAAACACCAATTCCATACAGCACGTAACCGAAGCATGAACGGAACGATTAGTTAAAGGGTTGAAATTGCTTGGTCATACTGTAAGTGTACAGCGACTGTATTTTCTCCAGTGTCTGTTAAAGCAGCACTTCATATCATAAGCTCATTATATCTGAGCCATAAAGTGATTATGGGCTCCAGTAAGGCATTGTTCTGCTGTTGACAGGATTAAAGATGACTTAAGAGAGAGAAAGTGAGCGTCTATGCTCCACGTTTGCTTGCTCTGTATAAGCCTGCAGTGAAAGGGTCTGCACGCTTCACTGTTTACCAGCTGAGGCACACTCTACTTTTTTACACATTCATCTCCTCTCATCCAGATATCTGTCTGCTCTAATCAGGGGCGCCGTAAGGGGGTGAAAAGTTAGGATGATTCTAAGGGCCCGTGACTGACAGGGGCCCCAAAAAGTGTTAGAACATTAAGAAAAAATGTTTAAGTAACCTTTCATCAATCATCAATAATTAACATTAATATAACGTCATATTGATGATGTATTGACTAAACTTATGATTCATTTAACTTATTTTCTTCCAAAAGTTAATTATCCAAAGCATCGAACACCCCCCTCTGTTTACATGTAATGGTTTGGTCCTGCCTCCAAACGGGTGTGGTTAGCATTGTGCTTGGTTGGCGTGGCCTGGGTCTGGTGGTGGGGCCCAATGTGATATCTTTTCATGGGGCCCAAAATCCCTGGTGGCGCCCCTGGCTCTAATGTTGTTCGAAGGCGGTGTAAAGTGTTGTTTTTCATACCACCTTGTGCACGATTGTTTTTAAGGAAAACCTTGAGACACTAAAGCCAGTAAATCTCTGTTGACAGTGTGGCGTTGATTGCTGTCTGTGTTACTATCTGTGAGGGCAGGATTATCATAGAAAGTCAGATTTGGCTTTTGAATAATTCAAAAAGTAAGAGCTGTATTCAACAGGTTGTATGGCATCCTCTAAGACTGCCTTTTTTAATTCAAACCATGTCATTATCGACTTTAAATAACAACATTAAGGCTGCATTATTCGGACTGATTTGACCCAATGTTGAGCTTCCTTCGAATATTGAATATTGTACTTATCCCTAATGCGATTTAAATTAACAATGTATTAATTCTGCAGCCGTCAACAAGATGTATGTTTAATGTGTGAAAGATTTGTTTTTTTTCGTCATATATTTGTTTTAATGTCTAGATTTCTAACGTGCTTTCATCTCCTCCCTGCAGAAGAAAGTCGGAGTTGTGAAGATTCAGGAGAAGAAGGAGCGGTGGAAGGAGAAAAAGGTGGCGAAGCGGCAGAAGAAGGATGACAAGGAGGAGGTGGTGGAGGAGGAAGAGGAGAATGTGCAGCCAGTTGAAGATCCTCTGGAGAAAGGCTTCCTCCATCACGCCCAGCGGGAGGCGGAGAGGATGACGGAGCGGCTGCTGAAGAGGACCTACTCCAAGAAGAACAAGATGGTGAGTCCGCCTCCATGGCTCGTTATATTCTACCTAACTTAGAAAAGGTAACTGTATGTTCAATGGCTGGCTTTGTATTCAACTTCTTGGATGATTTCATACCTTAAAAGTATCGGAGTCTTTTCCCCAAAACTATACTGTCCATCAATCTGATGTCCACAATCACTTTAACGCAGAACAAGATCAATACAGTGGTGCAGGAAACACAAACATTTATCAGTAGCTACTCCACTGGTGAATTTCTAAATCGTATGTGTCCTAAAAACTGCTAACAAGTGTCTAAATGGGACTATTGAATGTCATCATACTTAGCCGCCTTTAGCTTAGCGGTGATGACGTGAGGTCATGTGACCATGCTGTGGTTTCTTTATAGCTTAACGTTAGCTTTTACAATTGCATTTACTTTTCAAAAATCATAAAGTGGTGTTAACCTCGCAAGGCAAGGCAAGGCAAGGCAAGGCAAGGCAAGGCAAGGCAAGGCAAGGCAAGGCAAGGCAAGGCAAGGCAAGGCAAGGCAAGGCAAGGCAAGGCAAGGCAAGGCAAGGCAAGGCAAGGCAAGGCAAGGCAAGGCAAGGCAAGGCAAGGCAAGGCAAGGCAAGGCAAGGCAAGGCAAGGCTATTTATATAGCACTTTTCAACACAAGAAAAGCCCCACGGACCCTTCGGAGATTATCCTGCTGAACAGAACAGTATCATAAATGTGTGTTTCCAAAAAAATCGTATTTTCTGCAATATCCTGAAACCCAATGGATCTTTGTTGGGGGAGACCGTGTAATGCTAACTTTTCAAAAAATGCCTCACTGCTTTGATTTGTGGGTATTTTGTGACTGACTGTTTTGCTTGCTTCTGCCATGAAGTCAAAAGAGCCAATCAGCTGCTTCAGTATCTGATTCCAGTGTTATCTCCATGACTCTTCTTTCACTAGAAGCAGTATTTTCTCACTCCTTCTTACAGATTGGCACATTCACTTTAAAACAGAACAAGATCAATGGGGAATCTTCCAAAAAATGTGAAGCGTGTGTGACTTTGAACCTCAGTGCTAAGGTTGTCAGGAGATGAATTCACTTCACATGAAACACTTCAGTCCCATCTAGCTGTGCAGCGTCAAAACACTTCTCAGTGTTCAGCGCTGGAGAAAATCATTTTCTACAAATACTCCCTTTAAGGCTGGAGTGTTAGCCCATTACAGCTGTCAGAACAGTCATTTTCTACATGGAATATGTTATTACATTTTTGTACTTTTTGGAAATACGAGCTGTTGAAACTACTTATATTTTCATTTAGGTAAGCCCAGGTTACTCTAATAAAAGCATTTGATTGGGGTTTTGTCAGCAGGCCCTTTAGCTGTTAGTAATCATGCTTGTCATATCATGGTCGGTGGTGACATTTGGCGCTCGTTTTCTTTCTCTTGCTGCTATGAAGTGACGTGTTTTCCATTTTGCATTATTAGCTCTGCATTAGCAGTGATGTAAACATGTTCCTGTGTTTTGCTTTTATTTGTATTCAAATTGAGGAGCTCTCCTTGCTATGTCTCTAAAGTGAAAGCTGTTTTCCCCATGATGCCTCCGACTGACACTTTTGATAACCGGTTATGAACTGTTGTAATGCATCACTTGTTGACAGTATGTTTAGAAAAGTATTTGTACAAGAGTTACAGTTCGGTAAATCAGACCAGATAATAAATAGAGAGTTATGACCTCAAACAAGTTGCTTTTGACAGTAGAAGAAGCATAAAATAACTGTACTATAGGTTTGTATTGGATCAGATAAACTTCCCAGATCCCAAAATGTTTAATTCTAAGACATTGCACAAAAATATTATTGAAAACGTATATTTAAAGAAAGAAAATCTAAATATAGTTATCTACTACTAAAAATAAATATATACTTATAGAAGAATACAAATAAACTGTATTATAGATAAGTAATTCAATGGAATCAGTCAGATAGCCTTTGGCGCTAAATGAAGGCTAACAAATGTGATGTGGAGACACTGATGAGCCCTGGTGTTACCCAGAGTGGTTTGATAAGCACATTATTGGTGCGCTGCCTTCAGGTGCATTTACTCAGCTATCACTCTGTGTTCCTTCATGGCTGCAGAAGAGCTGCTCTGTTTGTGTATGCAGAGCTGCCAATATGAAGCTCTCTGCTGAGTCTGTCCCAGGGAGATAGCCCATCTCTGTGTTAACAGTTTGTTTAAATGGGCGGATGTTTTTATGCTCCTGTCTGAGGCCAAACTCTGCCGTAGTGCTGTTGAGGATAAGAGGGGGAAATGTAGTCAGGAAGCCAAACTAAATATTGAGGCTGTGTAGCTGCGAGGCCTCTTCCACACACACAAATATCTCTCTTAGATTAGATTTCCTAAGGAAGTTAACATGGCTGAACATGAGTTTGGCTGTGATATTTAGTTTGCCAAGAGGAAGTGAAAAAGTATATATTTAGCTGATACGCTCATCCAAGTGCAGTTGGCTGCAATTACTGGAGCAGATTTACATTCCAGTGAGATAGTAACTACACAGTATCAACAATCTGCTGCCGTTATGTTAATGCTGTGCTCATGTTTTACTGTTACCTTATCTAGGATTTACTGCACATGCTCCCAATGAGATTAAGATAGGAGAGGTAGTATGCAATATACTGTATCTTGTAAATATCTTGGAGGCACATCAAAGACACACTAACTGTCACTCAAGCTTACAGTGCATTTATGTTTCATCTTTGTTTTCAAAGTGCAAAGATGAGACCGCAAACCTCACCCAACAGAAATCAGAAGGTTTATCAACAAGTACATTTTTAACTACAAGGAATTTGCGTTATTTCTTTTCATATGTGCTAGATACACATATTAAAAGGTACAAAAAGTACATTTAATGTAAAGAACAGACAAGTTAAGTTACAAAAATAAATCAAAAGAGATTCAAAAACAAATATGTGCAACAGTAAACCCAGTTTAGAATGAGGGGGCTTTACACTCTTGTGGAGGATGTGATAAATAATGCTATAGTGCACATTAAAGAGATTCTGGGATGATACAGATTTATATTGGGGGATGGAGAGTGTGAGTCACAACCATCTCACTTTCCTCACAGCTCTGAGTTGTTTTGTCTGCTGCAGGTCAGCTGCTGGTCAATCTGTTTAAATGACGGCTGGCCTGAGGGCAGCTTAGTGTCCGTGGCTCACTGCACTGTGGCTCAGTGAGATCATAGATACAGTCTCCCAAACACACACCTCAGTCCTGGGATCCGTGGGGGCGGCAGAACAGAAATGGCTTTTAAACCTGATGGTCACTGGTTCGAGTCCTAGTTCAGACAATTTCACCTAATGGGCCCTGACGAAGTGTACTTGTGTGTTTTGGGGCCAAAGGTGTATAGTGGGGAGGCTGTGGCTCAGTGGGGGGAGGCTGTGGCTCAGTGGCCTGGTGCGCTGAACTTTGAATCAGGGGGTAGCAAGTTCGAGTCCCACTGCAGTCAGCATGTCGTTGTGTCCCTGGACAAGACACTTCACCCCAAATTGCTCCTGTGGGGATTGTCCACAGTACCGAATGTATGTAAGTCGCTTTGGATAAAAGCGTCTAACAAATGACATGTAATGTATAGTTCCTGTTAACAGATTGAAAACTGAACTTCCACTTGTCTTCTTTTTTACTGGAGACATCTTCTGATCTTTAAACTGAATTTCAACTTGTCTTCTTAGTACTTCCAAACCCTTCCTTTTGTCTCAGTGTGTGACTGGAGATATATTTTAACCCGACCTAGTTTTATTTTTCCTGCAAGCTAAGATAAAACCTTTTGTAATGCAAAACTGAAAATGTTGAGAACAAACAATTCTGTTGTGGTCACGTTCTTTGGGAAAGAGCATCACAACCGATTCCGGTCATAATCAGTGTGGATGAGACACATGATCATGTTGCAAAGTAGATGCATTATAGATAACTTAATCGTTTATTAAAGTGTTAATAGACTTCTATAAAGTGGTGCGATTGTACTTTTAGTTTATTTCTGGAACATGGAGACATTACATTACATCACTTGTTAGACGCTTTTATCCAAAGCGACTTACATACATTATACTGTGGACAGGGGCGGTTCTAGGGGGGCCAGGGGGGACCAGTGCCCCCCTAACACTGACTTTGGACCCCCCTGTGGCCCCCCTGAAAATAAAAATAAATTAAAAAGTTTATGATTAAACGATTTCTTGGCTGACGGAATAGGCATAACTAACGCTATTTGTCTTTCTAGTCGGACCTATAGAGCGTAAAAACTGTAACTATAAGTATCTGAAATAAATATGTGTACTGAAACAAATACCAATAACTGTATTGCATTGTTTTCTTATGCGCAATTACTTCATACTGTCTTTGTCTTTTTCGTCCCACATTTATTGTGCCCCCCTCAGAAAATAACTGGCCCCAGCCAGGCCCCCCCAGTCAAATTGGTCTAGAACCGCCACTGACTGTGGACAATCCCCACAGGAGCAATTTGGGGTGAAGTGTCTTAGGGACACAACGACATGCTGACTGCAGTGGGACTCAAACTAGCTATCCCCTGATTCGAAGTTCATCATACTATCCACTGAGCCACAGCCTCCCCAGACATCACTTTGTAATACTCACACTTCAATTGGCTAACACTCATTTTACGTGATAGGCTAAGGAGCGGGACATCTCTGGTTGACCAATCACAACAGAGCCGGCCAGCTAACCAATCAGAGCAGACTGGGCTCTGGTTTCAGGCAGTTTTTAGGACAGAATATGGCCCCTTTAAATGAGCACTAAGGTGGAACAAATAATCTCAAAAGTATATGTTGTATTTAATCAAGTCAGTTTCATAAGACCATACCTGCTCACTCGACTTACTTCTATCCAACACTGCCTGCTTTCATCTGATTTATAAATGGTTGGAAAATAGGAATTTGTGGCAAGCAAATTCACTTCACAACATGACCAAACCAACAACTACTCAGGTTGCACAAGTATTGTTTTATTTCACATGTATTCTTACA